GGCCCTGGGGGGACGCCGAGTGAGACCCCCGCGCTGGGGTCCCAAACTGCCCCAAACTGACCCCAAATAACCCCAGAACTCACCCAAAACTGACCCCAAATAACACCAAAACTGACCCAAAACTGACCCAAAATAACCCCAAAACTGACCCAAAACTGACCCCAAATAACCCCAAAACTGACCCAAAACTGACCCCAAATAACCCCAAAACTGACCCAAAACTGACCCCAAATAACCCCAAAACTGACCCCAAATAACCTCAAAACTGACCCAAAACTGACCCAAAATAACCCCAAAACTGACCCAAAGCTGACCCAAAACTGACCCCAAATAACCCCAAAACTGACCCCAAATAACACCAAAACTGACACAAAACTGACCCAAAATAACCCCAAAACTGACCACAAATAACCCCAAAACTGACCCAAAACTGACCCAAAATAACCCCAAAACTGACACAAAACTGACCCAAAACTGACACAAAATAACCCAAAAACTGACCCAAAACTGACCCAAAATAACCCCAAAACTGACCCCAAATAACCCCAAAACCGACCCAAAACTAACCCAAAATAATCCTAAAACCGACCCAAAACTGACCCAAAATAACCCCAAATAACACCAAAACTGACCCAAAACTGACCCCAAATAACCCCAAAACTGACCCCAAATAACCTCAAAACTGACCCAAAACTGACCCAAAATAATCCCAAAACCGACCCAAAACTGACCCAAAATAACCCCAAAACTGACCCAAAACTGACCCCAAATAACCCCAAAACTGACCCCAAATAACCCCAAAACTCACCCAAAACTGACCCCAAATAATCCCAAAACTGACCCAAAACTGACCCAAAACTGACACAAAACTGACACAAAACTGACCCCAAATAACCCCAAAACTGACCACAAATAACCCCAAAACTGACCCAAAACTGACCCAAAATAACCCCAAGACTGACCCCAAATAACACCAAAACTGACCCAAAAATGACCCAAAACTGACCCAAACTAACCCCAAAACTGACCC